ACGGCTGCCAGGCGAACTTTCTCCCAACTCCTCAGAAAAGAAACATTCAGGACAGCAGAGATAAGACTACTCAAAACGGGCAAACGCTAAGAAGATGCTTGGATATCAAGCTTCAGCTGGCGTTGGTGTTGGTCGCTCTTGACGTGTTACCTGAGCCAAATCTACACACAGCCCACTATTCCAGCCCTCACTTTTTGGGAGTGTGAAGAGCCTATTCTGCAGATCTTGCTCAAAAGTTGAAGCTAGAAGCAGAACTGCAGCAGTATACATGACAAACAAGTGGAGCGTCATTGCGAGGGGCTCAGCACACAGGGCACAAGCAGGACACTTCACCCTTTATGTATAGTATACACATGTGTTCCAGTCTGGCAATCTTGGCCTTCAAAGCCACTGGAGAAGGCACATCGTCGGTCAAAGATTCCACTGATGAGCAACCTGCTCGGCCTCACGGAAAAGTCAATAAAACGAATGCAAACAGCTTGGGCTCAAGACAGGTACCTCAACGGCAGTAGCACCGGAACATCCAAATAATAAGTAAGGCTTCAAGTCGTACCGACCAACAGGAAAAACGAACGTTGAAAAAAATGATCGAACCATAAACTGCTACGATCAGCAGCACATGACGGCCAAAAACGCAAATGTAAACTTTGCCAAGGGTAACCAATCTGACAAAAGGACCCAGCTTCCACACAAACAAAGAGGTGTCCACTAGAACTTAGTTTAGAAATTTTGACTGCCTGCCTAGCCTGAGCAACAAATAATTAGAAGAGTGATGATTCCGTCAAAAATAACAGGGCTTAAGCAAAATCACTTGTGATGGTGCCTCTGTTGCCAGCCACAGGTTGAGGTGGCACAGCCTGCAGCATGTTCAATTGAACCCGAGCATCTTGGATGTGCAAGTGGGCCGGTATTCCAAAACCGACTTACCAGGCACACAACTGGAAGTCAAATAGCCCAGGTCTATTGCCTTGGCTCCGTTCAGCCTCAATTTGTCTCATTCATGGGCCAAGTTTAGGCAAGGAGTCTCGCAAGCTACTCTCTTTTTAAGACATGTTGGACAATGTCTTGTGCGTGTGTAGAAACAAGAATGCTTCGATGATGATGCTTTGATTGATTCGACCTACAGTTGTCCCACGGGATAGGGGGCACCTGGAGGTGTTTGACAAAATGTTGTCTCAAGAATATCCAAAAATCCCTTTCAGTTTCACATTTATAAACACAGTATACTACAGTATTTAGATATATATATATATACAATATATACATATATAGTATACATACTGTGTATATATACATAGACGGTGTCCTGTATGCTATCACCGCTCTAGGCATCTGTGTGAGGGTCAAACCCTGGCTGGTTGACAACCCAAATGAAAAGAATATTATTTGAGGGGTATCAACCATGGAGATTGCAGCCATCCAGACTATAGATGTCTGACCATGATCGACTTCAGGACACGATTCTTGTGTTCTGCCCACACCCCTCACCAACAGGTGGTGTCTCAAATGATGTCAAATGCATGAGCACGAGACTTCAAGAGAACTGGCATGTCCCAGCTCCGAACGTCCTTCTTCACAGATTTGTCGACGCTCACGTCACCAGCAATTGGAGCCCCGACCACGGCCAAGCGCTCTGGTGGATGATCGAAGCCTGCACAGCCGCCCGAAGCACACTCGAGGAAGCTAGAGGTCCCAAAGTCGCCTTCATGTCGTTTACCCTAGTAGCGTCCTTGCTCCTAGTAGCGAACATTGCTCCTAGTAGTAAGGCCAGGAGCCCCTAGTAGCGTCCTTGCTCCTAGTAGTAAGGCCAGGAGCCCCTAGTAGCATCCTTGCTCCTAGTAGTAAGGCCAGGAGCGCCTAGTAGCGTCCTCGCTCCTAGTAGTAAGGCCAGGAGCCCCTAGTAGCTTCTTGTTACTAGTAGCGTCCTTGCTCTTAGTAGTAAGGCCAGGAGCCGCTAGTAGCGTCCTTGCTCCATAGGCTTACGCCTCAAGATTCAGAACATACAGCATGGAATTCTGGCCTGTCGAACCTATTTCCTCCTGAATATCTTCTGGCGTCTCTTGTGGGATTTCTTCCTCGGGCGCTTCTTGTTGGATGTCTTCCTGAGGCAATGTCCAGGAGACAGGCAAAGCTTGTATGTTACGCAAAATCTCAGCCTGAACACGTGTTGCTCTTGTTTACATGACCGCAGTTGCAGTATTGCCTCTGTTTCCGCAATAGCGCTGCTGACGATTTTGAAAAGCGTCCAAAGACCACATGGGTTACAAGTAGTCTCATTTGAGTATGCATACTAAGGGTTGAAGGGCATGTTACATTGTATGACAAATGTTCTCTCTAGGTCTGTCATTGTCGGGTGCTACAGCTAGTCTAGACCTGTGCTCTTGCATACTTGCCAGCAGTGACCAGCAGCAAACTATGACAAACAAAGCGATATGACTTGACCAACAAAACCCACAAGTGCCACATTCTTTAGAGACCTGTGGCACTTGTGGCTTGGAGCACTGCCCTTTCGCCAGGTCTTCGCCAGGGCTCGAAGTAAGCCGTCCGTCGCGCCACCTTGCGGTGCAAACGAAGGCCAGGCATTGTCAATCTGTGCCTTGTGACCTTTTCAATCCTTGTGGCTCTCAGCTGAAGGGGCATTCTTCGGCTCTTCCCGCTCTTCCGGGCATAGCAAAGTATTCCGCATGCCGCATACAATTGCAAGTGTTTAAATCATGGTTCGTGTTACCGCACAGACCCAAAACTATATCGATAATTAGAGATGTAAGGCCTAGAGGACGTGAACACACACTTACATCTCCCACCTGGACATCGGATGCCTTGCGCTGCTATGCCTTGCATGCACACCTTTGCTAACCTGTTGAGACCAGTCTTCGAGACAAGACCGAAGCACTTCCTTGCGCCGTTGCCGCTGGCGCCAGCAGCTCTGGAGAGTGCGAGAGGCTGCATGTTGCTTGCGAAGCTGAACCTGAAGAAATGTGTCGAACAGAATCGTTCCACCATTAATTCTCTTTGAATCCTTTCTTCCGGAACCTAATAGGTGGGAGCCCATCG